AACCCCTATGTAACCCATTCCAGTGCTTCACCACCCTCCCAGTGAAAAAGTTATTCCTAATATCCAAACTAAATCTTCCCCCACTGCAACTTGAGACCATTACTCCTTGTTCTATCATCTGGTACCACTGAGAACAGTCTAGATCCATCCTCTTTGGAACCCCCTTTCAGGTAGTTGAAAGCAGCTATCAAATCCCTCCTCATTCTTCTCTTCTGTAGACTAAACAATCCCAGTTCCCTCAGTCTCTCCTCATAAGTCATGTGCTCCAGCCTCCTAATCATTTTTGTTGCCCTCCGCTGGACTCTTTCCAATTTTTCCACATCCTTCTTGTAGTGTGGGGCCCAAAACTGGACACAGTACTCCAAATGAGGCCTCACCAATGCCAAATAGAGGGGAATGATCACGTCCCTCGATCTGCTGGCAATGCCCCTACTTATACAGCCCAAAATGCCATTAGCCTTCTTGGCAACAAGGGCACACTGTTGACTCATATCCACCTTCTCGTCCACCGTAACCCCTAGGTCCTTTTCTGAAGAACTGCTTCCTAGCCATTCGGTCCCTAGTCTGTAGCAGTGCATGGGATTCTTCCTTCCTAAGTGCAGGAATCTGCACTTGTCCTTGTTGAACCTCATCAGATTTCTTTTGGCCCAATCCTCTAATTTGTCTAGGTCCCTCTGTATCCTATCCCTACCCTCCAGCCTATCTACCACTTCTCCCAGTTTAGTGTCATCTGCAAACTAGCTGAGAGTGCAGTCCATGCCATCCTCCAGGTCATTAATGAAGATATTGAACAAAACCAGCCCCAGGACCGACCCTTGGGGCACTCCGCTTGATACCGGCTGCCAACTAGACATGGAGCCATTGATCACTAACCGTTGAGCCCGATGATCTAGCCAGCTTTCTATCCACTTTATAGTCCATTCATCCAGCCCATACTTCTTTAACTTGCGGGCAAGAATACTGTGGGAGACTGTATCAAAAGCTTTGCTAAAGTCAAGGAATAACACGTCCACTGCTTTCCTCTCATCCACAGAGCCAGTTATCTCCTCATAGAAGGCAATTACGTTAGTTAGGTACGACTTGCCCTTGGTGAATCCATGCTGACTGTTCCTGATCACTTTCCTCTCCTCTAAGTGCTTCAGAATTGATTCCTTGAGGACCTGCTCCATGATTTTTCCAGGGACTGAGGTGAGGCTGACTGGCCAGTAGTTCCCCGGATCCTCCTCCTTCCCTTTTTTAAAGATGGGCACTACATTAGCCTTTTCCAATCATCCGGGACCTCCCCAGATTGCCATGAGTTTTCAAAGATAATAGCCAATGGCTCTGCAATCACAGCCGCTAACTCCTTTTGCACCGTCAGATGGTAGCACTTATTCATTTTATGGTTCAATGGCAGCCACACTCTGGATACAACTGAAGAGGCCCCGGGGCTGGAAGTGATGTTTCCCAAGTGGCACAGTTTGACAGCACTATTTGGAACTTTCTGCCAGCTACGCAGGTAAAAGCCTATATTCAGCCAAAAGTCTGCTCAGAGGCTGCTATCTGAGGTACTAAGCTACCAGGCTCCAGGGCTCTCCAGAGAGTTTCAATCAACTCAGGGTGCCAGACCTGCAGGCTAAGGATCTCCGAACTTATTTGCAATCCCAACCTTACAGAAATATGTGGAACTTAGGTAACTCTTCTGGGGCCTCCATCCAGACTCCAGGCCTTCAGCTTAGCTAGTACACAATCATTTTTTGTTCATACTTTACCAAGGCCCTGTGATCAGTGTTTGCTGGCATTGGGAGTACCCAGGTGCCATGCCACCTGTTTACCAGTGATCTGACCCCTCCAAAGGAGGCTTTTTTAATATATATCTTTTCCCCTTTGATACTCAGAAGCAGTTCTTTTGACCTGATCCAGAAAAAAGCATTTCTAATTCATGTCCTGGTCTACCTTCCTTTAAAATATTGAGTTGCTTCTTTGCCAAACACTAATAGGCATATTCAGAACAGCTCTTAATCACTCCCCTACAAAGCACACAGGCCTCCATCACTGTCAGCTGCACAGTCCTAGATCAAACGAAGGGCATCAGACCATATCACAGTGGCCAACAGTCTCACAAAACCCAGGCCCTCTCTGCTTGCCAGTTTACAGCCCTTTAACAGGGCTCAGTCACTTCCTTCCTACCAATGGCCTCTTCTGCAATGTCTGTTTATGGAAACAACTTCTGCGCTTCAGAGCCCATGTGAATTCCACAAGGGACAGACAAAC